CCACATAAACGCACATACCTATACGACGCCCATAGATGTGAATACAAACGGAGTCAAGTGGTGATAGACACAGAGAACCGGAAACGACTCTCTCTCTCTCTCTCTCTCTCTCTCTCTCTCTCTCTCTCTCTCTCTCTCTCTCTCTCTCCACATAAACGCACATACATATACGACGCCCATACATGTGAATACAAACGGAGTCAAGCGCTCTGACAGACACAGAAACGCAACGAGACGGGGAGAAACGGAATGAGACGGAGAGAAAAACGTGCGAAGAGAGAAGAGAGGAGAGATGGTGAAAAAAGGCGGGAGGAAATCAGAGAGAGAGGAAAATAGAGGGACAGAAATAGGGTAGAAAGGGATACAGCACGAAATGGAGGTATAAAAAGGCAGAGTGAGGACACCCAAACATCTTTTATATTTCATCATCAGCACGGAAGTATGTCATCTTCGCCCAAAATGCCGCCCCACAAGGTCATACTCAAGAAGGCTTACGTGTATCATGCATGAGAACAAAGAACAAATCACAGAGTTCATGGCCTTTCTTCTGGCCATCAAGGGACAGCCATCAAGGAGATCAAGGGGTACATACATCGTCATCTCGCTAAGTCAACCCCCTCAATGGAGGATATACACCCCTCCCCCCCCCCCCCCCCCCCCTCCCCCCTTTCTTCTGGACACCCTTCCGCACCCCATTTCCCGCCAAAACGGCAAAAACACCCCCTCCCCACCCCTCTCCTCGTTGCCTGCCCCCCGCCAACTAGATCCCTCGGTCACCGGGGGAGGAAGTAGAGGAGTGCTGATTCGCGCAGAAGCAACTGGGAGAAAAATAGTCGACGGGGGAGGGGGAAAGGGAGGGGGGGGAGGGAAGGGAGGGGAGGACGGGGTCGGGAGTTGGGGGGAAGAGAGGGAGGAGAGGGGGAGAACGAGGGGGAAGGAGGCAAAGAGGCGGAGGAAAGCGGCGAGAGCGAATTCCATCCTTATCTTAAACGTGTTTACGTTGGTCTACGCTCCCTGCCCGACACGTGTCAATTCCGAGAGACGAAGATGCATCATCATTCATCATTCATCATTCATCATCATCATCATTACCAATTAACCGACCAAAAGATCAACAACGTGAGATGCATCATCATCATCATACCCATCAACTAATCAATCAAGCTCCGTGAGACGGAGTGCCACGCGTCCCTCCCTCCCTCCCTCTCCTTCCCTCCCTCCTTCCTTCTCTCACTCCACTCCATCGCAATTGACTACCAGGCATGCGTTCTCTCACGCAATCAATCAGCCAATCAATCAATCAACCAATCAACCAATCAATTAATCAAACAAGCAATCAATCAAGCAATCAATCAATCGATCTGCTTCACACTTTGTAGCCAGTCAGAGTACCCCCCCTTCCTACGATCTCGCCTACACAAAACCAGGCATAACATTCGCCGGCGAACAACGCCGCCACCGCCACCTCCTCAACTGATAGCTCCGCCCGATTAGCCCACTTGGACCTCACTACTTCCACCTCCTTTTGCAATGCATTGTACCTGTTCGGAATGCTGGCAAGCCTCGTGTAGAAGAGTCGTTTGGCCAAATCTTGGCACACTTCAACGGTAGGCTCGTGGACTACATACTCCGCATTCTTCTCAAGAACGCGCTTGTACAGCGATCCCCCATGAGTGGAGAGCACTCTCCACGCGCTGGTGGCCGACGTTTTCACCGAATTAATTGCGGCAGCCATTGCTGTCGAAGCTGAAGCCGAAGGCGAAGCCGCCGCCGTAAAATTGGCGCCAAAAAAGAAGCGGGGAGATCCTTCTTCCCGCCAATTTCCAGCGCGAAATGGCGCTACAAGGCGCGGGCCGCGGGAGAGTTACACGCTTCCCGCCAATAGACTTGGCTGGCGGCGGAATAAACGGACGGCTATCCTCTGCTCTTATCAATCGACCAATTGATTGATTGATTAATTGATTACGGCCACTCGACGTGTTGAGGGGATTTGATTCTCTCTCTCTCTCTCTCTCTCTCTCTCTCTCTCTCTCTCTCTCTGTGTGTGGGTGCTAATCACTTGTTGACACTTGATTGCTTTGAATTGATTGGTCAGTTTTTAAGTGATGAAATTGTCTCCGCACCCGCCAAGTAGAGTGGGCCTCCCGCAGTACTCACCAAATGTAGAGAAGGATGGCGGGTGCACCTGCCCAGGTTCTAGGGACAGATTCATTCTCATTTTGCACATTTGGTGAGCAGCGAAGCGAGCCGAGGCCATACACTTTCTTTCGCCGAAAAAGAGAGAGGGGGGGGAAAGAGGCGGGTGGAGGGGGGTTCCGCGTCCTTGGCGCCGACCGACCGGTAGACAAAGGGCCTCGATCCACTACGCGCCGCATGCACAAAAGAGACAAAGAATGTGGCGGTGTATATTTCCATGTTCTAGCGGAATATTCATTCTTATTTCGCACGTTCGTCGGAGTGTAGTGGTGTGGAGCGAGGCCCGAAGCTCAACGCCGACGAAAAACGAAAAACGACGAAAAAAACCAACACGGCAGGGCGAGCGATCGCCAGCTCGTTTGCGACTCCCTCCACCGCTCACCACTTGTGCGAAATGGAGAAATGTATCTACCCCTAAAGGGCGGAACGATTCGTCCGCTTGTTTTCTGTCTTTCTCGCATTTCGTGACTGCCGCGGCGAGGTCCAAGCTGCCCGGGGGCGAGGTCCCACCAGCAAGGAGGATTGGATTGAACACCCGAATCTGGACTCGTTTGTGGAAAGGAGCAGAATGTCGAGATTGAACTGCTTTTCCGCATCGCTGCGTAAAACACGTCCAGATGCAGGATATTTATCCAACCCACTTCGCTAGTGGGACCTCGCCCCTGGGCGGCAACACGGCACTCGCGAAGGAAACGTGGAAAATTTTGCCTCGCTCGACAAGGCTCGAAATGTGCAAAACGAATGGGAACCTTCCGCTACAACACGGAAAGACACACCGCCATGAATTTGTCTTTTGCGCATGCCGAGAGTTACTGTAGTGGATCGAGTGCATCTTCGGAAAGGAGGTGGCAAGATACGCCCGCCACTACGCGAAGACGGCAAGATACGCCGGCCACTGACTGCACTGACCGAGGACATCGCCACACACTCGAAATGTGCAAATGAGACTGTACTTCTGCGTAAAACATGGCCAGATGCACCTCCCACATTTGTCTTTTTCACATTTCCAAAAAAAAACAAAAAACAAAAAGAGCGGTGGGGCGAGGGCCGTACGGGTAGTCTTTTCTTTTCTTTTTTCTTTTTTTTTGGAAAGCATTGAAATTTATTACAAAAGGATGGGACGAGGCCGGGGACCTCACAATTCCACCCGAAGTAATGTAACGCCCTTGTAGGCGGATGTAGGTTCCATTCTGGGCTGGGCTAGACTGTTTTTCTAGTGGGGAATTGGGGTTTGATGCAGTTGTAGGAGTGTCGCGTAGTTTGGTTAGGCTAAGGGCCTCGCCGTACCACTGTCGAAAATGCAATTTGCACGACTGTCGAAAATGCAATTTTCGACAGTTTCTCTTCGCCACACAGGCTGTCGAAGACGGAGACGGGAAAAAAATTATCCAGTTGTCAGAGCATGCTTACAAAAAAAAAAAAAAAAAAAAAAAAGGCTTCTCGACAGCTCCTTGTCCCTGGCGGCCCACGGCGGCTGCTTTCGTTCGCGTGCGCGAGCAGAGCTTGGCCAGCATGGCGGGTGGGGAGTCTGTCGTAGCTATGTTGGGAGTGGGTGCTGGGCGTCGCGGTGCTGCATGCTTTTCTTCGCCGCCGCAATACGCTATATGGAGCTATGATCAGGGCACCGATGGTGCATCTGGCCGGAGATTCGAAGACAATACATGGAGCGTGCGTGGTCTGATTCGTCTGCTTCAACTCTTTTGGCCTTGGACTTCACTATGTTGCGAATTGCAGCGTTTCAGGAAAAGTAGTTTTGCATGATTATCTGCTTTCTACTTGAAAGGGAGTGGGCAGTTGGGCAGGTTCATTCCCTATTTTGAAAGAGAGTGGGCCTGGCCTGTGCGGGCTTGTTCCCTATTTTGAAAGAGAGTAGGCTTGTGAGCTATTTTTCCTGAGCGGTTATCTCTGGTCGTTCGCATCGTGTGGTGAGTGCTGGTGGCTTTGGCAAGAGAGTCGGAGGAGCTATTCGGCGAAACAGTGCACACGGAATTGGTGGTACAGTAGGTTAGGGTTTCTTGGTTGTTCGTGTTTCCTCTCTGAGATTCAAGTCGTTTCTTGCCTTTAGGTTTCTTTTTAGTCGATAGACTTTTGTTTCTCCGTGGGTTTCCAGGTTTTGGGATGCTGGTGTAGGGAACTATGTTGGGAATGGTTTCTACAGGGGGATGGCTCGGGATGCGGAGTGCACCCGAGGCCAGTTGCCCTCTGTTATTTTCATCTTATTCTTCGCTATGTTGATGTAAGCCTTGGGCACTAGGCCCGTTCGAAATCAAATTTCCATCGAGTATAAAAAAAAAAAAAAAAAAAAAAAAAAGTTGTTGAATCCCCAGCTTGCTACTCCCATGCTTTCGACACTCCTCAGTTGCGTCATCGACTTCTCTTCGAAATTCGGTGAGGGGCGGTAAGGTCGGGATGGACTAATGCTTGTCGTACCCTCTGGCGCATTCGTCTTTTTCCATCTTGCATTCACAAGTGCGTGCACTCTACAAAGTTGTATGGCTAAAGGGGGGCAAACTGTCGAATGGAGGTTGTCGAATTTGTTTTGACAGCCGTCGAGTTTTTTCGCCTTTCGACTGTGGTGCGGCGAGGCCCTAAGCCTTTTCGAATTGTGTGGCTTTGCAGGCCGTGAAGGCGTTTTTTCTTTTGTTTCCCAGGGTTGGGGAATGTCAGGGCAGCGGTCAGGATGCGGCCAACTCTGCCTCTGGACTATAATCCCCAACGCCTGCACCATAAACTGGGTAATGGTCCCAGAGTGACTTTGTCCGGGTTGAATGTAGAGGGATTCCCGGCCTCCTTTTTGTTTCATTTTCTAATGAATTGCAAAGTTGGTTTGTAAAAAAAAAAAAAAAAAAAAATTCCACCCGGAGTTATCATGGCAGCCTTAGCCAGTTTCGCTTACGAGCCATGCTCGACAAACCAAACTAGTTGCTTCAATCTCGTTCTATCTGCTGGAAACCGGGTCCAGTGTCCCATCATTCATCACTTTCCAAAAGTAATTCTTTAAAGCACAAGGCAAAAATGAGCTATCTGATGAAAGCTAGCTCGTGGAAGCCCTGGGCAGTTGCTGGACCCTGAGATAGGCCCTTGGAAGCCAGATACAACCTGTAATCCATGTCTCTCCTGCAAACCACTTGTTCTTAGAGTTTAAGTCTTTGCAGCACATCCAGTAGGACTTGAACAGTCTGAGTTGAAGCACAGTAACGTCTCTTTAAGTTCTCAGTAGGAAGTAGCCTAACTTGACTACTTCACGCCTGAACTGGTGCGACCATCTGGCTGCGGGTTTCGATAGAGTTTTGTCATTCGGAAATCAGCCACTTGGAAAACACCAATCTTCTGTCTGTCGTGACAGCTGCCAGTTAGTTTCCTTGTGCCCATGTCTTCAGAAACCAATTGTACCCTTTTTTCTTACTTATGAAAGAGGATTGTCAGTCTGCTTGAATTATTATGCGGATATTCACCCGTATCTGCTGCTGTTGCTCGTGGACTGAGATCTTAGTCCTATCAAACACCGTTGAGTTCCTCGCTCTCCATATTTCCTGGAAGAGCACTCCTCTGCAGCCTAACGCTACATAGCCCCATCCATCCTCAAGAGAGGAACCCTGGAGAGGTAGAATACCGTAAAGTACCCAGTCATCTGACCAGGGCCATGAGGGCCCAGTAATTAAATTCCAATGATGAATCCACCAAACTCAAATTTCGTTTGCTGCTGGGCAGGAACGCCAAAGATGTGCGTTCGATTCCCACCCCCACTTAACAGCCATTTCGTCAAAACGGACATATTATATTTTTTGAACGAAATCAAAATTGACTTTTTTTGCCAAAATCCGGTCGGAATTTTTTGCTTTTGGGGGTCCTGCGTTCCCAACGTC